CAGGAATCATGAAGCTAAATTATGATCATCTTCTTTCACATAAACTGGTTAATCTAGTAAATTAAGTGAAATAACTTAAAAATATATGTTTGATTTGGTTCTTTCAGAATTTTTTTTTATCAGTATTAGAACAGAACAAAGTTGAATGAAACGAAGTTATTTGTGGACATGCTGTACTATATTTTTAAGTCTTGAAGAACAGAATGACTATATTTAAAGAAGAAAATTCACTGTGTTTATTTACCCTGTGGTGTAGGTAACTCCCATTTGCAAAGAACAGCTGTTCCCATTTCTAGCTGCTACTGGGCCCTTCCTCGTGTTACCCCTGAATGAGGCTGTCGTGGATCACAGAGTAATAGGACAGGCAGGCGAGGGGGAGGCACGGCTGACTATTTTTCAGCAAGTTAGAAGGCACCACAACAGAGGGAATTACCTCCTCACCAAAGGGCCACTGCCAGACCACCAAAAGCCTGAGTGTAGGAGGATTTCATTCCTGCTGCAAGTACAACAGGAGTGCCTTTCCAGTGGGGCTCCCTCTGTGACCTTCCCTTTCTCCCTCTAGTAGTATTGGGGCTGAGTGCTCATCAAATATTTTCATGGCCATGATCTTTACTGGGATGCCTGCCTATCCTGTGATCAAAAGAGTGTTGCTCCATCATCCCCAACACGCAGAAGAGAGCACAGACATTCAGAGAAACTAAGAGATCAAATGGCTTGTCCAAGGACACCGAGCCAGCAAGTTCAATATCAAGGCCCTGCACCTTCCAACTCCCAGACTAATGTTTTCCCAAGTAGACCAAGCTATTTTTACTTCTGGCAGCAGCAGATTTGGTGATTTCGAGGTTTTATCAAAAGAAGGTTCTGGAATTCCCGTATGAGTCCCCCAGTGCAATTATGAGCAGATAAATATCAGGGATCGGGGCTGCCTACTCCCTTCAGCAACTCGGCTGTTGGGCCTGTCTTCAGCATCAAGGATCTAGGGAGGGTGTTGTTAACACGTCCCATGTGCCCTTCTGTAAATAGAAAGTCACGTCA